GTTCTCAAGATGCAACGCAACGCGTAAAAAGACAGTATAAGTTTTTATATTATATTATAATCCGTTATTTATAATAATAAATTATAATAATTATAGTCTGTTATTATAATCCATAATCCGTAAATATGTCCCCACTGGATGCAACAAATGCCTCGTTTATAATGGGTTTTAATGTTTTTGTCTCGTCACTCCGGCCAGGATAGGGCATCACAGTATGGTAAGGGGCGTAACATTTCCGTCACACGCTTGAGGTATTCGGCCAATCACAACGCACTGGATAGCTGGCCAATCACAGCACACCTCGCTTTTCAGACCGATGAGCTTTATAAAAATCGACGCATTTCAGAAAGGCGGGCCATAGAGGAGAAACAATAATGTACAGTATGTGGAAAATAATGTGTTTTTTGAAACTTAAACCGCATAAACACATTTCATTACACAAAATACACAAAATAATGTTCTTTTTAGCAACATCATATGACCCCTTTAACAACCACCTAATCCAATCCAATAAAATGGATTTACATGTACAGACTAATTTTATTTTATTTTATTTTATTTTATTTTTAATATGGCTCTGACAAAGCATGCTTTTACAAGGATTTCAGAAGACTTAATTTTTTTTCTGATGGTTAAAAATAAAGCTTTGGGTAGATGAAGCTGGCCTTGGATCAGTATGAAAGGACAGATTTTTCTCAGAGCATGTGACTGTCAATTCTCCATGATAATCGCATCTGCTGTATTATGCACTAAACTGCATATTTGTAAAATATATTAGACAACTGATTTCATTCTGAATGTCAATGAGTGTAAATGCTATTAACTAAAAGCTTACAATTTTCAGAACAATAAGTGCCTAATGAGTAAATGAGGTCAAATGATGATTAACTTCTTTATTGTTGTTGTTGTTGTTGCTTAATGTGAAAGAAAATGTTTTATTTAGAGCAAAGAAGCAATTATTTGCATAAGCTGACATTAAATGTAAATAATAATATTTTTCTCAATTTGAATGTTCCATGAAAACGAAATCAGCTTGTGGATGTTTCTGCTAGTCAGAATAAAAGCTTTCGAACAAGCCAGCACAATATTTATATAGCATAATTATAGTATAATATATATCTGTCAGCCTCACAGCCTGTGACTGCTGACATCTACATGTTGAACCGTTCTGCCTTCTGAGCTCCACTCAGAAGTGCAAACACAAACAACAGGACTTTTATAACCAACAATTTTAAAAGATTAAAGTGCTGAATAAGTGTGTGTTTGTGTGCATTGTGACTCACTCCATTAGACTCATTTTCTATGTCACCAAGTTTTTCATGACCTTGACGAAATGCTGCAGGCCCACACGTCTGGTCTCTGCTGGTTGGCATGCCAACAAACTATATCTACGCAAGAGCTTTAAGTAAATGTGGCATTCTGTCGAAGCGACACAGAATTGAATCTAAGCAAGCAAATGTAGTCATTTCCCAGGATAGTCGGGCAACTATAGTGTTTTACAACATTTTTATGGCATCATGTGATGTGTGTAAGCATAATAACATGCTTTTGAAATGAGTGACTTCCAAAATGTGCTAGAACAAAATTGAGAAACACTGGTACAATCCAATTTTAGCTAAAAATAAAAGGGTACTTTTTAATTAATTTATGACCTTTTGGATTAAAGTCGGTGTCTTTTCATTTCCGTTCCTGTAGATAATTAGAAAAAGACTTTCCTGTCACTTTGGAAACTGGATATTGATGTGCCACCTCTGACATCCTCTGTTTGATTATATGGCAGTCTGATGTGCTGTGATTCGACTCCTGCTTATCACAGTCGTAACACTTGCCCACCTTGCTAATAGAAGACATGGGGTGAGATTACGTCAAATATTGTGTCAATGCTTCTTGCTGGTGGCAACAGATCATTAACTGATTCTGTTCAAATTTATTTCCTACATCAGTTGGAGTATTTAACAGGTCAGCCATGATTTTTTTTTTTATATATATAATTACATTACAGAATTATGAAGAAGTCTATTTTCGCTCACCAAGGGCCAGATTTACCAAACAAGGCAAATTAGTGCAAAAGTGCAATTCCAAAAAAGCGCCAATGGGAGTGAAAAGTGGGGTGATCTATTGACAATGCACAAATTACAGTAAAGAACGCAGACACAACATCTCATTTACAGGATGACCAACGCAATCTACTAAGAACAATGCAAAGTAGCGTAAGGTCGCAAACAATATGCTCGGATAATGTCTTCCTCTGCCATTTCGAATAAGTGGATTCAGTCATTATTATTACAGAAGAATTACTATTACAATTTTAAATAACTTTTATTTTATTTTAATGTATTTTAAAATACAACTTTATCCTGATGGAAAAGCTGAATTATCAGCAGCCATCACTGTGGTTTTCAGTGCTACTTGAGCATTCAGAAATCATTCTAATATATTGATTTGGTGCTTAATTATTATCAATTATAAATGGTGCTCAATTTTTTATAATGGTTTTTGTTATTATGTCAACAGTGAAAACAGTTTTTGCTATTTATTATTTGTGCGGAAACTGTGATACATTTTTTCCAGGTTATGTCTGATCAATTGAATATGTTCCTGCTGAATAAAAGTATTAATCTTTTTAATAGCATCATGGTTGACAAGAATATTTAACAGCACTAACTGTTTTTTACCTTAGTCATGATAAGAAATGTTACTTGGGCACCAAATCAGCATATTAGAATGATTTCAGAATGATCATGTGACATTGAAAACTGGATTAATGGCTGCTAAAAAAAGTATTGTTTTTATATTGTAATATTTCACAACATTACTGTTTTTACTGTATTTTTAATCAAATAAATGCAGCTTCAGTGAGCATAAGAGATGTTTTCCAAAACAATAAACAATCTTGGTCACCCTTTAGTTTGGGAAATAGTTCTCACTATTAACTACTATTAATTTGGTCTCAGTAAACCCCTAATTTGCTGCTTACTAATAGTTAGTAAGGTAGCTGTTAAGTTTAGGTATGGGGTAGGATTAAGGGTTCTGAATAATGTTCATGTAGAATAAGACATTAATATGTTCTTTATAAGTACTAATAAACAGTCAATATGCTAGTACTATGCATATGAATAAACAACTAGTTAATAGTGAGAATTGTCCCTAAACTAAAGTGTTATTCCAAACTTTTAACCAGTATAGAGTATTGCTTAATAGGAAGATTCAGTACTGAATAATCATAATGATTTCATTGGCTGCTTAGACTTGCATGAACTCTGGGCTTCACTTATATTCTAATATATTTCTGTTTGTAACAAAGAAAAAAAACTACATTCAGTGACACACTGAGTAAATATGGTCTGTGGGTGTGAAGCTGTTGTAGATGAAGGTCTGACTGAGATCTGCTGACTCATGCCCTCTTCTCTTGTGCTTCTCTGCCTACAGCAGCAGTGCAAGATTGCACCCCATTTAGCAGATGTTTTTCCATCTAAATCATCTTAGAGTGCATTAAATGTAAGGTCAGCCTCCCTAAAGCACTAAACCTTGTTCACACAATAGTGTTGAGAAAGACCTACCTCGTTTTTAGCCTATTATTAAGTTATGATAATCACTACCACCTTATTTAAACAGATTTTTTTGACTTTGCATGTGGCACATGTTCCTGCAGGAATAAATCTAGTGAAAACAGTATTTGCCACAACAATTTGGCCAAAAATCATGATTGTGTTTTTAACACTGAACAATGTTTTTTGAGTTGTGATTTTCCGCATATTTATCCAGATTACAGCTTTCTTTATCACTTTAGGTTATGACCGCAGGTCTAAGTGACTAAACAGTGAGAGAAGCGAAAGCATTTTGTTTGCATTGGTTTTTAGCTTGGTATTAAAGCTATAATTACATTATAAGTCACAGCATGTCAAGCTCCACTGGAAATTCCTCTGGGGCTCTAGCGTATGCCGTTTTCGTAACTTAATTAAGACCTCTCTTTGCCTCCCTTGACGACTTAATTACCCCAACCATTTGCTTGCCATGATACATATTGTATTTTTAGTATATTATAAATTACAAATGAAGACTTTTGCCCTGCAGTTATGTAATCTATGTAATCTCTATTGTTAGAAAAGTGATCAGTTCAAAAGTGTGAGAAAACTGGAATAGAGAGAGTATTTTTAGTCTTATGTGCAAAAAACAAAAAA